AAGCCAAACAACTCTCCCGGCAACGACACCGAGGTCGTGCCACCAACTGAATATCCCTATAGGGCAAAGGCCATCTACAGCTACGAGGCCAACCCGGATGACGCCAATGAAATTTCATTCTCCAAGCACGAGATCCTCGAAGTGTCGGATGTTAGCGGAAGGTGGTGGCAAGCGCGCAAAGAGAGCGGCGAGACGGGTATTGCGCCCAGCAACTACCTCATCCTGTTATGAGCAACGATCCATGCATGGATTCCCTGGGATACCCGTTCGGCGATTTGCGATATATCGCCCGTCGAACACCGTCAGACCCACGTACGGGCTGCTCGTTCATTGTTTGTCGCATTTTAACGTTTTTAGAGTTACGACTCGGCGATTTGGTTTCTGCACTGGGATGGGAAATATGTTGGATGGAGTATATTTGGGACGAAAAACCCCCTTGTGTTATACCTCGGACCACGGCGCCTGCAACTAGGCTGTTCTTTTCACTTTGAATGTCTTCTTTTCTATTGTCCCCACTTATTGTTGTTCTTCGCTTTATCTATTACCCTCGGGAAACCCGCGAGATTTGATTCGAATCAGGTTTCTTACCCTCTGGCGAAGTGGCATAACGCCCGACGACCCGATGTGGCTGTGGGCCTGAGTTTACGAGGAAACGTGCTCGTAGACCTGCGAGCAGGCTGGGCTTTGTGTGGAAGGGGTTGTATTTTGTCAATGGATCTGGGTTGGCCAGGTGCAGATATGAACAGTACCAAGCAAGCTGTAGTTACAACGACAAGGGACAAGGTATCCCTTGGACTAGTGAACACGATGATTATTGGAATGCAGGCTGAATTCTCGAGTTGATCAATTGTGAGTTGGGCTGAGTCTAAATTTAGGATCTGCAAGTGGCGGGGCCATCCAAGAACCATGGAAACCAATGCATGTGGTGTTAAGGTTTTACTCAGGAACGCGTAGCAGTTCTTGGGGAAAATGGGTATCGCTAACATGTCGAATCTAGCCTACATGAGACTAGACAATACTCAGTTACGGGGCTTGTGTCGTGTTCAAGTTAAACACTTGCCAAGATGAACTCAGCGTATAATCCTCCGGCTGGTTTCCGTATTTGTCACTGAGGAGGATTGGCATAGTTCGATAGGTTGAAGAAGCCAGCATATATGCCTGGTGCCGATCCCACCTGGCTTGCTCATTGATGTGTGCGACGTCTCGTAATAGAGGTTCCGTTGCATCAAAGGGCCTTCTCCATATTGCCTCTGTTGAGTTGTTTCTCCGTTTGTCGTTCAGTGCGGTTTCATTTCCAGTTCGCTTCTCATCCCTCCAATCTCTTCCTGAGCTCCCTCTCCTTCTGCAACACCTCCAGCTCCAATCTCTCGACACCATAACGCAGAGCCTCCTTACGCTGCCGAACTGCTCGCGCGCGGAGCTTTTCCTCTGCAGTCAACTTACGACTCCCGGTTCTCTGCTTCTTAGACTTTCCACCGTATTCGTCGTAATCATCATCTGGGCGGGACAAACGACCCTGCTGAAGCTCTGTGCGGGCTTTGAGTGTTTCAATGCGACGCTCCTGACGCTCGATCTGGGAGTCTGCGCGGGCAAGGAGAAGAGCTATATATGGTCCGATTTCATCACGTAATGAAGCTTCAGCTGCAGCGAGAGTGGGTTGCGGAATGAGTTCATAGTGCTACGAGGTGTAAGTAGAGGCAGCGTAAGGTGAGTGGAGAGACTTACGCGGACGGTCTTGAGGACGTTGACTAGACGGGGAAAATCGGATACGCCATTATCAAGAGTCTCAACCGATGATTCGAGGAATTTGAGGGAGGTGCGGAGAGAAGAGACGCAATCGGAGTATGTCGAGAGGTTGCTGGCGGCCATGATGACTACCGTGGAGTTTCTGGTGGTTGCTCGTAGGGCAGGCTGTTGATACGAATATGGGTTACAGTACAGTCCTGTTTTCAGTGGCTTATCAAGTTGCTGGTCGCCATAAGTTATGGATGATTGTCCTTGAATTAGTCATGGGCCAGGTATCATAAGCGGCTTTGGATTGTTTTGATTCCGCTTGATGATGCGGAGCGCGAAAGTTGATAAACAATGACGATGGCGCACGGACCAATCGCTTAATTTCATCGTCTTCAGCTCCTGTCCCGAGCTTCCTCCGACTTATAGATTCAACCTCATCATATCAAGTCAGTTCAAGATTGGGTTGTCTTATTTTCAGTAAAGATTCTTTATCTCTCTCGTTGGTACCACCAGTTGAGACTAAGTAGGAAGGTATGATTTCCTGTATGAATGAAATCTTCTTGATGCAATATCATCATAACTTCGCCCTGAGCTTTCATGGCCTCGAATTCGTATTGACCCATAACTAGATCTTAAAACAAATATCAGGGGTCTGAAGCATATGTCTTGGGCTTATTCTTTCTCTCTTATAATCTCATATGGCCTGTTAGATTCATACACCTGCTATTATATTTTAATACGAAATCTGAGGTAGAGTGAAAAGTACAGCCTTTGAAAAAGCTCAAAAGCAAAGACCATCGAGCATTATTGGCCTTTGATTCAGAACTCGTTTATTTGTAGGACTACAGGCATATTTTATGGATGGAAATGGGTCTTGGGCTATTCTTACCTGCATCTGACATCCTTAACTTCCATACGGGACCTCGTAAAGCCTCAAGATCAAGGTATTCAGCCCGTCCATATTTGCAACCGACTCCTTAAAGTTCTGAATAACACTAATTAAAGTGAATATTCTAAGCGTCATTAAGAGTTCCCTCTATCATTTCCAAAATAGTGGCGAAAGCAAAGTCATGATCGGAGATAATATGCAATGCCTACAAAGCCTGCTAGACCTTGCTTAGCTGTATGTTTTTTTCAACCCGGGTCAAGATTCAAGCACCTTCCAGACATATAAGCCTGAAATTATACCTTTTACAGGAGATGATGCATGTAAAATAAGTCTGTTTACGCATTTTCCGACTTTGGAAGCAGTTCTATATTCCCCCTACTATACTTCAACTACTATGGCCCTTTCTCCCGAATGTCTTGCATGAGCATTGCTTAATTATGAGCTTCCACCAACTTCGAGGCTGAGAAACAATGTTAGATGCCGACTGTATAGGGGTATTACTGGCATTCTGTGATTTTAGTTCATATTGTAAGGTGTACATGATCATCATAGTCCGCGGCGGTATCTCTGAGCTAAATTTACAATCATTGCTAAGAACATACCGGCAGTCTTGAAATATATCTCTCTAGATCGAGGCTGAAACGTAATCTTGAGGATACATTCGCTGTACAAGAGAACATGATAATGCAGCTATACCGTTGGACAAAGGGGGCTTTATTCAACAGGCCTTCACTGATTTTAGCTACAAACCCATATCGTATCTTATATAAAAGCACCAATTTGGCAAGTATGATAGGAAGTTTACTCCAAGCTGAAGGGACATATCGTTCTAAACGCATTACTTCCCGTACTCTCTCAGTTTGTCCTTAATAAGGCTACACTTACCAACGCCCTTCTGGCTGCTATCAGACTTCACCGATGAAGCAAGCATCCTGGTAGCTCACTGGAGTGAGGAACTTGGATCCATACAAACTTCAGCCAGGCTGAGGTTGTGCTCTGCAGCTGGCCTCTAAGCATTTTGATATCGGCTGGTGTCCAGGCGACTAGCTTCGGACCTATTGCACCCCCTTGAAATCATATATCTACTTGGTGATTAATTGCACTTACAGCTATTCTACAACATGTAACTATGATTCCTCTTCGTTTAAAAGGCTGTTGGGACTCTGGAGAGCAACCTGATGCATGAAAATCGCAACTTCTCTGCTTCCCAGTTTTGGACATCATTTGCGGGCATAGCCTTTTCCTTGAGATTCCTAACTATATTCAAATTCCGCTTGGAGCACCCACTTTAAGAATTCAGTACAAACTTAATTGCAATGAAAGAACAGGTTTCGCATATCTTCTGGATACTGGTATGTCAAGTCTTTGGCCCAGTGACCTTGATCGCTTCTTTGCACACATTCTGGACAACAGAACAGCTAATGCGTGATAACAAGCCTGCCACTATGAATTGCTTAAGTGATTTCATATTTATTGCAACCTTTTGACCTCGGTTTTATCAATTGACATGAAAAAATACATCCGAGTCTAGGTTAGCATTACTCTCCTAGTGACGAATCAAGCTTGTAACACGTCGTTCTGGCAAGCTTTTAGAATAACTTAGTAATTGATACTGGCAAATTCCAAGCTCAAGCCATTTTCAAGTAACGATACTCTTTCCTGAATACAGCTACAGCTATAGCCATACCTAAAAGGAATAAATTGCAAAGCCATCTTTTATGATGACTTAATATGAGCTTGTTGGGTTCAGAAGTTGAAGGCACTATACAAACTTGAAAGAATGCAATGACTTATTCATGCCAATGTCAGTGTTCTATGGTATCAGAAAGTTTCTTCATTGCAGATTCGTCTTCATATTCCCTCTAGTTACCTTATTAATATAGAGTACATGCAAGCTTCCGTTAGGTTAGTACCGATGTAGTCTGTTACCCTAAAGCGAAGATTGAACAGGCCCTCAAACGTCCAATTTGAGGCTCATATTTTCCGAGGACCTGCAGAGTCACTAGCAGTAATCTCTTCTAAAGTACTTTCAGAGTCATGAAATAAGCTTGACAGAGTCGTGAAATTATCTCAGCACATTCATATTGATGATGGTCACGTGCCCCCAGAAATTGGATGACGGTCCGGAATCGGTCCCACTAAATTCCAGGCCCGGCTTCGCTTGGTGGGGACCTAGCGACAGGCAGGCAGGAGCCTCTTGCGTGAGCCTCGTCACTACCTAAATCGACCAGCTTGGACTAAACCAAACACGCCCCCACGGCCTAGAACTCATCGCAACAACATTACACACCAACAATCCCTGAACTCCAACCCTCCAATTCGAACCTTGGCCGATAATCACAAATCTTGAGGGGTCTACACTACGATCACCGCTACCATGTCTGACGGAGTTTTAAAGCCCGAGAAGGACTTCTCGAAGGAGGTTGACCAGCAGCTTCCCGAAGCTGAGAAGCTGGCTGCGGTAGGCTTTTGAGCTTTGATCTAGCGATATTGAGCTTTTTCTGACGCTCTGTTTAGTCCGGTAACCTCCAAGGCGCCATTGAGAAGCTTGCTGCGCTCGAGAAGCAAACCCGACAAGTATGTATTAGTACATGCCCGCTCACTCGCCTTCGCTGCTAATCCAGTACTAGGCCTCTGATCTTGCGTCCACATCACGAGTCCTGATCGCAATCGTAACACTATGCAAAAATGCGGGCGATTGGAGCTTGTTGAACGACCAGACCTTGGTCTTGTCCAAGAAGCACAGTCAACTCAAGCAAGCCATCACAAAGATGGTCCAGACCGTCATGGGCTTCCTCGACGACACTCCCGACCTCAAGACCAAGCTGTCTGTAATCGAGACTCTGCGGACAGTAACAGAGGGAAAGATCTTTGTCGAAGTCGAACGAGCCCGTGTCACCAAGATCCTTTCCGACATTAAGAAGAAGCAGGGTGATCTAAAGTCAGCCACCGAGATTCTTTGCGAGCTGCAAGTCGAGACCTTTGGTTCCATGGATCGACGGGAAAAGACCGAATTTATTTTGGCGCAGGTTGAGCTCTGCATTGAGAGCGGAGACTGGACACAGGCTGCTATTCTAGGTCGCAAGATCAGCACCCGCTATCTTTCTCGCAAGCCTAAAAAGACAGCCGAACAGCTTGAGAAGGAGCAAAAGGAGCGTGAAAAGAAGAAGGCCCGCGGCGAGGAGGTACCCGAAGAGAAGGAGGACGACACAACTGATCTGAAGCTGCGTTACTACGAGCAGCAGATCATTCTTGCCAAGCACGAGGAGAAGTATCTGGATGTGTGCAAGCATTATCGGCAGGTTCTGGACACAGAAGCAGTCGAGGAAGACCCAGCCAAGCTTCGACCTGTACGTTGAATGCCCCTGAAGTATCGATATGCTTTGCTAATCTCCTAAACATAGGTCCTGCAACGCATCATCTACTTTGTCATCCTTGCTCCCTATGACAACGAACAGCACGATCTTCTCCACCGAATCCACAAAGATACACGCAACTCCGAAGTTCCAGCTGAAGCAGAGCTTCTGCGACTCTTTACTGTTCATGAGTTGATGCGATGGCCAGAGATTTCTAAGAGATTCGGCCCTCACCTCTGCAGTACCGATGTCTTTGACGCCCAGCTAGGTCAATCTTCGGACGACAAAGCTCACCAGCGATGGCAAGATCTGCGAAAGCGAGTGATTGAGCACAACGTTCGAGTTATTGCCAAGTACTATACTCGCATCCAGATGAGCCGCCTGACTCAGCTACTTGATCTTGCCGAGGACGAGACAGAGAAGTACATCAGCGAGCTTGTAACTTCCAAGACCGTCTACGCCAAAATTGACCGACCCGCACGAATTGTGAGCTTCGCAAAGCCTAGAGATGCTGACGATGTCCTCAACGAATGGAGTCACAACATGAAGAGTCTCCTGGGACTATTGGAAAGAATTGATCATCTCATCACCAAGGAGGAGATGATGGCACGAATCCAGCCTGCGAAATAAGATCTTGAAGTACAGGATAGAGCGGCGAATAATTCATGATGGTTCTGGTTGTCTGTAATTATACAGGTTAGATAGTCCTCGGGATGAGGATGTATGACATGGCATTTGGTGTATTTCACCAAGCCTATCTATTTGTATGCGTCTTAGTCTATATGTGTTTCCCAAAAACTCAATGAGAACGTCGTAACAAACCATCCCCTGACAATATTTTTCATCACAACTCTGCTTTAGGCTCGTTATCCTGACTATGCTCCTTGATGAAGCCAGCCAGAGGCGCTGCCCACTGTTTGGACACAGGTACGTGGTGACCTCCTGGGTGAACAAGTACAAGAGGGTCTTGACAACAATCTGTGAGAGCCCGGCTTCGACTCTCGTCAACAACTGTGTCAAGACTACCCAGGAAGTGTAATGAAGGAGTCTTGATCTTGGGCTCATAGCAGAACTGAAGGGAGTCTGGAGTGGCCCAGAATCCAGAGTACGAAATGACGAACTTGAGAGCCTTACCAGAGTTTGCCTCTCTGAGGCCTCTCGCCCAATCTCCCTCCTTTCCTTCAGGCAGAGTGCGTTCTGGCTCAAGAGCGGCTGCTACAAGAGCGGCCATGGCACCACCTTGGCTGAAACCGCACACTGCATCGATGCCCTCTGCGTCTCGAATGGCCTGTCCAACGGTAGCCATGCCCTCGTCGAACAGTCGATAGTTGCCGGTGGCTTCATCTTTGCGGAACCATGCCCAGGTATCGGGTTGGTAGTCCTCTGCCTGAGGTTCCTCAGGGGGTTGATAGCCAGGGATGTCTTCTGGACTTAGACGGTTGGGACCAGTGGCATAAAGGAAGACAGGGAGAAGTGAGATAGGGTTGAGTAATTTGACGAGTGTCTTCTCCAAGGCACGGGTTTTGGCACGGAATAGAGCGCCAGATTGTGTGTAGCCTGGTGATAAATGTCAGTGAGGGACTTGTAAGATTACGGGTGAGTCCAGGGTATGCTAAAGATGACCGAGAGCCACTGCATCTCTTTGCATGAACGTCATGTACACTCACCATGAAGCATGAGAATCTTGACCTCATGTTTTCCACTGCCATTGGGCTTGGGAGCTGTTGTAGCGGTCATTGTAGATAAGCAAACTTTGTATGAAGAAAAAGTAAAAGATGAGGCTCGTCTAATCGTAGTTACAGTTGGTCTAGCAGCAGAAAAAATACCAAGAAGAAAACGCATCTATAGAGGAGTGATGGGATGTTAGAGCGGACTTAAGTCGGTGTTGATAACAAGGTTGTAGGCCGTGTGAGTCGAGCGTGGAGAGCAATAATGGCAATTTTAGTAAAAAGAAGCTCTTATGATTTGTCAGTGGGAGAAATCTCTCTCAAAGGGCGTCGGGCCGTTGCACAACATGACAGCACTTTAACCCCACCACAAACGTTGTCAACAATCCAGCAATGGCTGGCTTATCAAGATCTTTAGACATGTTCTCTTGAATGTGTAGTTTCATCTGAAAGTTGAGGTCTATTATGAGAAACTATCTAGGTAGTCATATTCAGTATAAATGCTGTCACCAGTTTGACGCCTTCACGCGTAAGTATCCTCATCGGAGGATTATATTGGGAGATCTATGGAAGAAGTTGGATGCTTCTGCATGAAACAGAGGCAGTCACGGCACAAAGTAATTACAGACACGAGATATCGTGTGGCCATGATGATGGACCGCTACATCCACAAGAGCTTGATAGCCAGTATGTCGCGGTGAGTATTGGGCCATAGTTCATCTTCCTTGCACAAAAATAGAAATAAACCACGGAGCATGATGGTAGATTTCAGAGTGAGTCAAGGGGTTTACATGTCACATAAACGGACATGATATTGGTCTTGCTTCCCACACAATCGGACATCCAGAGTTCGAGGGCAATCGTCGTTCGCAATCATGTCCATGGGAAACTTTCGTATGATCGTTGTATAGGTCAATTAAGCCCCTTTTTCGATTCTATGATACAATTCCATCTCGTGAACCATGGCCTCGCGTTCGCGCGGGTCGGTTATGCGTGCTAGCTGGACGAAATCCCATTTCCTTCCCATCAGACTTAGTGACCGCCAGACTTGGCGTTGGGGTTGCGGGGGTCGTTCTTCCACTCGGCAGCTGTTATATCTGATTAGTTGTCGCTCTGTGCTCATCTTATGGGGGTCGTACAGTTCATCATGGCGGACTGGGCGGAGTTGACGCCGTAGGCAATGACAACACCTATGTCAAGAATCAATTGCTGTCCCAAACTCATCAAAAGATCAATCGAAGTTGGACGCGGCGGTATACGATCGGGAAAGAATCGGGTTGTCGGATAGGTTGCGCAATATCACGTACCAGCAGCGAAGAAGGGCCAGTAAGGCTTCACTAGTGGAGGAGTCAGCGGGATACGTTCACGAAGGCGCAGATGGATGAGTCGCAATTGAACGTACAGAAGGGAGCGTTGAACTTCTTGAGGGGTTGAACACCGAGCCAAGACATGATGACGGATTTCGTGGGTATCGTGGGAGGTAGGTTCGGTTTGATGGACTGTATCGCTTCAAGATTAAGATTGCTACAGAACGAGCCTTTTTCCGAACGACACAGCTCCGAGCGGGTTCTGCCGAAGCCGAGCCCGGGTGGTTTTCTGCGTGCCTTGAGGCTAAGGCAGAGAGAGTTCGAGAGCTGCTGAGTAAGATGGGTACGTATCTTGCCAGAGCTGAGGAACAGCAGGCCCAACCGAACCCCGCATTCTTTGACACGCTAAGCTTTTACACGTGACGCGAAGTTGGGGTGACATCATCAGATAGTTCCTCTAAGCTCCAGCTTTAAGAAGGTAGTGTACGTACTGTAAACCTTCTGATCTCATCACTCCTGTTTCCCTCAATCAAATCACTCTATTTTGTCCTTGTTTCTCGGTCAAAGGCTCATAGAGTCTGTACTCGTCATACTCGTCGTTGAAAGCAACCAAAACTCACCCAAGAAGTGCGGGGTGAATTATACATTTCCTGGGCGTGTAACCGAAAGCCGTTCCGTCCCTCCAACTCTAAGCTGCCCAATCGTCCACGCGCTTCGCCCTCCTCCTTAGGTTTGCCAGTGCCAGGGCAATCTCAACCAAAAGGTGCTTTGATACCACCTTGACGCTTAAACGCCTGCCTTCCCGCTTCTGCTGTGCCCTACCAGCATTTGATTGCCACCAATCGTGCCGCATCTGACCTTCTGCTTCCGTTTCCTCGGTGTATTTTCTCCTTTCAGCATCTCCCTTGTCCGTCTCGGTCCCTCTAAGATCTACAACCGTACAACTCCAACGTTTGACGTTTTAACGTTGTTGTCATCTGCAAGATCGCCCACAATCTCCCCGCGCCCGCGCCAGTATCAGCTTTATTAGACACCAATTGCGCCCCATCCACCTCGAGACTTTACATCTCCATTCCTCACCGCACCTCAATCAAAGCTCTAAGCTCCAACCATCCCCAAAATGCTCAGTCGCCAATTTGCACGCGCCGCTGCCGTCACTCCTCTCGCAGGCGTGCGAGCTCTGAGCTCGACTGCTATCTTTAACGGTCGCACACCTTCGCTGGGAGATGTCAACCCTACACACGCAGAGGTCGATAAGTTCAGTCAGAAGCAGAAGGAATTCCGCGATCACCTGGTCGAGGCACAGAAGAAGCGAGAAGCCAGTTCGTTGCCCTCTCACCCGCAGTCTGCTAACGTTCCTTTCAACGCGTCGGTCGAGGGCTCACAGAATGACCATGTAGGACGCTCTGAGGAGGTGAAGGAGCCGGAGCCTACCCGTAAGGCGGGCCCTTTGACGAACCTCATTTACGGTACCAAGGAGGGCCGTGAGCTCGATGCTCAGCTCGAAGCAAGCTTCAGTCAAGTTCTTGCGCGTGGCAAGTACGTCCATTCGATCGTTCTTCACGAAGTCAAGCCTGAGAAGGTTGACGAGTATGTCGATCTCGTCGGGAAATGGTACCCTAAGATGGCGAACGCCCCAGAGAACAAGGTGAACCTGGTCGGAAGCTGGAGGACAGAAGTCGGCGATTGTGACACCTTCGGTATGTTATGATTAATTACATCATGTTTTCTGACTACTAACCATTGTAACAGTCCACATCTGGGAATACCAAAAATACGAAGGTTACCATCAGTCCCGGTACTCAATTACTCACCACCCCGAATTTGCCGACTTCGACAATAAGCTAAAGGGCCTAATCAACTCCAAGAACGTCTCTCTCATGCAAGAATTTTCTTTCTGGCCAACCACTCCCCCACGATCGCTCGGTGGCATCTTTGAGCTGCGTTCTTACACACTGCACCCCGGCAACCTGCTCGAGTGGGAAACACACTGGCGACGAGGCCTCAAGGCCCGCCGTGAGGTTATGGAGGGCGTTGGTGCTTGGTTCGTTCAGATTGGTGACCTCAATACAGTCCACCATCTGTGGCAGTTTGCCAACCTTGAGGAGCGTCGAGGCCGTCGTGAACAGAGCTGGCAGGTCGAGGGCTGGAGCGACACAGTCCACAAGACAGTGCCTCTTATCCAGAGCATGAAGTCAAGGATCCTCGTCCCAATGCCTTGGTCTCCTGTTCGATAAATACTCAAGCGACAACACTGCCGCCACTCACTCCACAGTATCCTGATCATCTCACACGCCTGGTCAAATACAGGCTGAACATACCTCCTGTACGAGATAAGAAGCTGTCTTTTTGCGTTTTCACAGCATAGTCCATTTTGTTTTATGTCAAGAGTCTTTACGGTTTAGCAGAGGAGCGATGGAATGTGGATTATGGATTGCATGGATAGATGTATTATCTAAATTTCTACGAATTCATCTGAAACCCAAGAACCAGTACTCATAACATCGCGGTATGCCGTGATACCGACTTTCACGCTTTCGAAACCTGTGATAATTTAAAACAAGCTTGGGAGTGAAAACCCCGCCCAATAACATCCATTTGAGACCTCAACGCCAGGGTATCCAATCAGTTTACACGCAAAGCTGCTCACATGGCCTTTCCCCTCACTTCTAAGAGTCAACACTAAGGACCTCAGCAATGTTCCTTCGGGCTTGGCCAAGCATGTGACTGAGGTAGCTAAGCTTGGACTGAATGGATATGAGACTCGGATCTGCGCTTTCGACGCGTACCTTTTCCCGGACATAGACTTCCTGAACATCATTACTATCCACTTCTGCAGCGGACGATCCTGGCTCCGGGGTATGGCGGGCACTGCCCCGCTTCGAGCCGCCAATGTTGGACCCCTGTGTGTTATACCGGAAAATGGTGTCCATCTCGTCATGCTCCAGCCGACGTACAGTTCCAAAGGCTAGACCAAGCTTGGTGCCAAAATGAACATGCGCATGAACAGGTTCTAGAGCACGCAGCCACAGAATTATGCAGCTTTCCTGAAGACCGAGATAAAAGCTGAGGTTGGGCCCAATTGATGGCTCAAACAGATCTGGTGAACATGAGCACATCTGCCAAGCAGGATCAGAGTCTGTTAGAGGAGGTCCTTTGAGAATAGCTGATGAATCGGAGAGAGAATCAGCAAGAATACTGAGAGTAGAGGCGAGTGAGCTAGCGTCCTGTGGTTTGGACAAGGTGATAGCGAGGAGATCTATGGACTGGTTTAGGTAGCCGTGCAAAGCATCGAGGCCTTGGACATGAATAGCCTCGGACTGGGAGAGGGACAGTGTCTGTGGGGGTATCGTTCGAAGCTGGAGATGTATGGTCTGCGATCGAAGGACGTCAGCATGCAGAACGAGGCTGGAGCTGCATGCAGGGGAACATGAGCTCAACAGGCAGCCTTACGCCTTTGACAATACGAGTGCCGACACGAGTGAGCGTGCCCTTTACTTTTTCGTTGCGCGGTGTACTCATGACGAGTGTACTGCCCGGATCGATAGGCGCGAGGAGCGCATAGCAATCCTCGAGGCCATGTTTAAGATCGCGGCAGACCTCGAGTGTTTCGTCGACGATCCAATCGCGTTCGCGCGCCTTGTCAAAATAGATCAGCATGTTGTCTTGACTTGTTTTGTCTCGTTTCGCTTCGTCGCATGAGGTCGCAGTACCTGGGTTTCGGAGGCTTTAAGTCTGAGCTTGGCCGGCGAGATGGGAGGCCAGATTGCAATGGACATTATGAAATAGGTGCCTAGCTGGTCGATACTACGCGAGTAGCAAGGTAGGCAGCCATAAGAGAAGATGGCGGCGATGAGGTTATGACGATGTTAGACTGATACTGAACAGGAACGAGTTAAAGATGGACGAGTAGCCCGAAAGAATATTGACTCCAGGTGAGCTCAGCCGACAGCTTCAAGGTGACTTCTGTAGCGGGCCGCTGGGCGCGCTAGAAACGCTACATTTGGGGGGCATGAGCTGCGCCACAGATCTGTGGCGCTCTCATCCTCACTTTGGAAGGAAGATTTTGCGATGATGATATGAAGTTTATTGGCTTTTTATAATAATTGTTCTCAAAATCTATTTCAAAATCTTTCAAAAAGTACCGATTTGAAGGTTGTTTCTTCGCCACGGTTCATGAAAGCATCGCGATAGTAGTGGGGGTGTCTGTATCTAAAAGGACTTTTCTACCCTTCCTTTCCATTCATGAGACTTGTGTCTTCTTCTCACCACTCCAACTCCCACTCACGCTAGGCATCATCCATACTCAGGCATCTTTAAAAACTGAGGTGGCTAGAAACAATCAATTCAAAAGGAGCACTCGTGGCATTTACAAGGTAGGACTTGTTCGAGCACATTCCTTCAAAATTTGTCGAAAAGTTCTTTTGAAGATTCATTTGCTGATCAGTATCAGGCAGCCAAATCTCGTAAAAACGACAAGATGGCTTCGGCCGAGGCTTCCAAGGCTCCAAACAAGGTATATGGTACCTTTAGTAAGCTGCCTGCTATTTCAGAAGGTGTGGTTTTCACAAAATGTTACGAATATGCGACTAACACTTCCCAGGTGCTCGTGTTGAGAAACGGCCCCTAACCAGGCGCCAGCCGCCGGCATCATCCAAATCTCGCATCATTTACGTGTCTTCAAGGACACCGTTTATGGCTGTGGTCAAACGCGCCCGTAAACAGCTTGACGACTCACTCAAGACCACTGGCGCAGCACCCAAGTACGCGTCCCTACATTCGCGTGTTGAGGCGCTGCAGCGTAGCAGCGGTGGAGATGCAGGCAGTGCTGCCGTGACACTCGCAGGAACGGGTAGAGCCATTGAGAAGATCCTCGCGGTCGCGAGTTGGTTTGAGCAGGAGGGAGACTGTGAGGTGGAGATCACAACAGGAACCGTCGGAGCCGTGGACGATGTGGTGGCCAGTGGAGACGAGGAGGACCAGAGTCGCCTGAGGAAGCTCAGTTGTCTGGAACTCCGGATTAAGCTCAAGTGAGTCAGGTCCGTAGGCACGGCGATAAGGATTCAGGGACACGGCAGCAAGACTGTGTTGCATCAGATCTACAAGGGCAAGTAACCTTGCATGCGAATCCTGGATTAGCATTGTGTTTTGCTGACACTTTCCCCATAGAACAAAGTCCACGGCGTCCGAGTCGGAATGCGCGGGTATGCACAACGGCCACACAAAACAAGCCAATCTGACAGTATCGAGATCTAAGTTGACTTAGATGATTGAGGAGTTGAAGGCTTGGGTGGGCCGCCGATCCGGATAGTTTGGGTCAGCTCGAGAGACAGTGATTATGAATCAATGAGCCAGAGCCAAACCAGAGGCCGTCTGACCTTCGGGCGCATTCATAATAAGCAATAGAAACTTGGTGTGACCGACTGATCAAGAATTGATCCCTAATAGCCGCCAGAGGAGGAGAACGTTCTTGCTTGATAATGATATGTCGAAAACCCATTCTCATGACACCGCCGGTGTATCATGGTCCGAGCAAGAGACCGACGTGGGTACCGGGTGGAATTATATGCACCAAAATTGAGATGGGATGTCAGCTTGTCGTTAAATAACGTTATTTGGTTCTGAATAGACAGGTCATTCAGTTCACCACTACCCAAACAAATAAGGATTAAGGAAGAGATGGGAAAGTCTCAAGATCCAATGTCTACGCCGCTCAATGCATCGTCATCATCCGTCCATTTCCTCATATTTGCTAACCGGGTCAAAAATTGACTCGGCTGTTATTAAAGACCAACTCCTGTGGTGCGCCGAGGGATCCGCTATCCAGTCAGGATCCCTTATGCAATGCTAAATATGTCGTTTCTGTCAAGTCAAGTCATTCGGATCTCTCGCTTGCTGGTGATTTGTGATTTTTTATGTAACACGGTAGGCACTGCGTCTTGTGATTAGGCACGCCCTTGTAAGATGGGGACTATGACTCAAGAGAGGGACTTACTCGATAACCAAGTGCTCGCCACGCCAGGCACCACTGGCCACCCATAATCCACAGTTGACGATTTCGGCGTAACGCTTGTCGGATGTCTTGAACGTCGCGAACATGCGGAATCCATATCGCCGTGGGTCAATGTCCTTGGGGGCCCGAGGGCTTAATAGAGTATCGAGAACATCTGCAGGTCCTGAGAGGGAACCGCGAGTGCGCATTTCAAGACTGGCAAATGAGTTAAATCCAAGTCTAGTGACTTATAAGAACTCCCAAAACTTACAGTGCAGGCTGCTCATCACTTGTCTGGACGACAAAGGCGCCCTCAACAAGCCTCATGGGCCTAAAACCGCGTGCCTGGCCAAGATCATATCCGCCTGCCTATACACCACACATGAAATCCTCCTCGGTCAGCCACGAATTGGATAAAAGCGTAGAATTCTAGAAGGGGTTGGGGGGGCGTGTGAAAAAAGGGAAAACGCACAATGACGCGGCCGTGGCCAAAAGATCCGGACCAAACACCAGCGGCGACAGTGGTTATCTCCTTGGTGTTGCCCGAGTCAACATGGACAGCCTCTTGATTTAAACGAACAGCAATTCGAAAGTCAAAATCGAGGGCCGGCATCGGAAAGGCGAGTCCAGGGCATGGGAAGTGGTTCAGAGAGCGTTGGCAGGCCTCTTCAACGGTTCTAAGAAGTACCAAAGTATAGTCAGTAATTCGACGTCCGGTCCAATTCGGTAATCTGAGATGATCCTTCCAACTTACTTGCCAGGTCCCTCTCTACATTCGCGCTCAGCCTGAACTCTATATAAAAGACCTCCGTCGTTAAAACATCCACCTCCTGATACAGAATCTTGTGATTGTGCGGTCGGATGGATTCTCGTGTCCCACTCGGCCGGTTTGTTCTGTTGCAGGCATTCTGAAGCCTGGTAAAAGGGAGCCGAGTGAGGCATGCATGTGGATTCAGAAACATCGGTGGGAGCAGTACTGGTAGGTAACGAGAATGAGAGAGTATCGGTTTCGGTCGCCATGATTTAGCTGTTTTTTTGGTGTAGATGTTGAAGATGAAGCGAGTATTGAATGAGACGCCTTATGGCTGTCTAATGTCGCAATATGAGAATTCGGGTGTGCTGGAGACCTTATGATATCATCTGAATACCACCGTCGAGTAGTTGAAAAGGATTGAAGGCTTGTGAAATTGACAGGACAATTTGAGTTGGTGTATATAACGTTATTGCTCGCGGATATGGAGGCGC